CAACATCAGGGTCTTTTCCAGGGAGTCTTCTCATGAGGTGGCCAAAGTATTGGAGCCTAAGCTTCAGGATCTGTCCTTCCAGTGAGCACTCAGGGCTGAGTTCCTTCAGAATGGATAGGTTTGATCTTCTTGCAGTCCGTGGGACTCTCAAGAGTCTCCTCCAGCACCATAATTCAAAAGCATCAATTCTTCGGCGATCAGCCTTCTTTATGGTCCAGCTCTCACTTCCATACATCACTACTGGGAAAACCATGGCTTTAACTATACGGACCTTTGTTTGCAAGGTGATGTCTCTGCTTTTTGCTTTTTTTTTTTCAGCATAACCCCTCAAAAAGAAAAGAAAAGAAAGGAAATGTGCCTTTTTTTTAGACACACATCCTGATGAAAGCTTTGCTTTCCCTTTAAAAAATAAAATAAAAAATCAACGAAACCAATCTTTTGCTTCAAATGGGTGAGGTGGAGAGGGGTGGGCAGAAGACAGACAAACAGAGGTGTAGTTGGACGGACAGACATTTCTGGCAGATGACAGGGTGAGTATCGTCTCCCTTTCCTTACACAGCGTTGTAGAACTGCATCAGTGAAAACACTCAACACACCGACATTCTGACTCAGAGCGGCTTCTGCTTACAATTCCAAGTGTCTTCAGGGCCCTCGCTGTGAAGTGCCCTCTGGCTTCAACATTTGCCAGAGGGCACTTCACAGCCCATACTCAGGGGCAGTATATCTCTGAATAACAGAGGCTGTGGACAAACTAGAGTAGATGGCCATTGCCTGTGAAGTAATGCACCAGATGATGCCTTCCTCCTGTGCTAAGTTAAGTCCTGCTGCACCATTCAGATATCAATCCTTGTCTCTGACTGGCCCCCTAATTTCTGCCGCCTGAAGCAGCATGCTTCCCTTTCCTTCCCAGTACAGCTGCTGCTCCTTCATGTTCCAGCTCAATACTGTCAGCAATGACAGGGCTGAACATTAGCAGCCGTACATGGAAACTGAATCTGGGACCATTTGCATGCAAAATTTGTGCTTTACCACTGACTGAGCTTTGACTGTGGATTTTTGGATTTTTTTCATGTACAGTGGACGCTCGGGTTGCAAACGTGATCTGTGCGGAATGCATGTTCACAACCTGCAGTGTTCGCAACCTGCAGCAGCGCATCTGCGCACACACGGGTTGCGATTCGGCACTTCTGCACATGCGCAAAGCGCAATTTAGTTCTTCTGCGCATGCACAAAACCCGGAAGTAACCCATTCGGGTACTTCTGGGTTTCAGTGGGTCCGTAACCCGAAAAAACACAACCTGAAGCGTCTGTAACCTGATGTATGACTGTAGACTGACACAGCAACCTTTGCTGGTTGTGAATCCAGATGCTGAAACAAGGAAGACAAAAAAATCTGAGGGATTGTGCAGTTATTTCATTGACACAGACTTTACTTACAGGTGGGCCAAATTTTCCATCATGTTAGTCATGTAGCCCTGCCCTTAAATGCAGGGGTTTTTTGGGGGGGGGGCTTTGTTTTGTTTTTGTTTTTGCAAATAACTAGAGAAAGGAGCCCAGTTCATATTATGACCAACAAATGGAGGGAGGTGAGTCTTTACCAGATTGCCCCCTCAGCCTGTCATTGAAACAAAATGCACCCCCCCTTTATTTGGGAGTTCAAATGACCTGCTTAACTGCTTACCCCTATTCCTCATCAAACAACAACATGCCTTGGCAAATGTATGTAAAGGTGTAACTATTAATCCTACTTGTCTTTGTGCAACAATCAAGATCCAACACTCAGATACAAAGTGTTTCTTAGCTAGGCCGAATAAGAAAACATGTAACTATCCGTACTGCAAAATGATCCTTTGCTACAAAGCGCTTTCCCAGAGAACAGGTGTTTATCTAGAGATTGTTAAAGAATTAAATGTAAGATCAGTGGATAAGGTAAAATCAGTTACCGTACCCTTTCAGCACTCTGCAATTTTAGATACTCCCAAATGGTGTGAACCAAATCGGAAAGTTTACATACAGAGTTAGATCCATGAAAGAGGCTTGGCAAAATTAGGACTAAGGCTAAACCAAGACAGAAGTAGGTCATGGAAAATACGCACAATCAAGTCAAGGAGCAGAGAAGTGCATGCAGAGGCTGCAGGAGGCCCAGAGACAAACAAGATTAGGATCGGGAATTTGCAAAATGTCGAAGACTAAGGTGTAGCAGGGTAAACAGATGCCAAGATCCAAGGACAGTAAGAACAAGGAGACCCAGGAATAGGAAGTGGGGAGACATCTGATTTAAAAGCAAACCTACCTGACCCACGGGACGCGGGTGGCGCTGTGGGTTAAACCACAGAGCCTAGGGCTTGCTGATCAGAAGGTCGGTGTTTCGAATCCCCGCAACGGGGTGAGCTCCTGTTGCTCGGTCCCTGCTCCTGCCAACCTAGCAGTTCGAAAGCACATCAAAGTGCAAGTAGATAAATAGGTACCACTCTGGTGGGAAGGTAAACAGCGTTTCCGTGTGCTGCTCTGGTTCGCCAGAAGCGGCTTAGTCATGCTGGCCACATGACCCGGAAGCTGTATGCCGGCTCCCTCGGCTAATAAAGCGAGATGAGCGCCGCAACCCCAGAGTCGGCCACGACTGGACCTAACGGTCAGGGGTCCTTTTACCTGTACCTTACCCGACCCACACTATCTGAAACAATATGCGAACCAAAGCACAGCCACCCAAACTTTGCAATGCCGTTCTCCTGCCAAGCAGTGTCTTTCAAAAATGCATGTACTAGGCTGAAGTCTGTATAACAAGGCAGGTCTCTGTGAAAATAACATACAGAAATGCAGTACAGTATAGTCAGAAAAATATGTGTTGTGAAATGTGCATATAGGGCAGAATAGCAGGCCAAGGCTCTGCAAAGAAAACTGACCTACTTTGGCTTCATTGAGTTTCACACACCTGGTAGGCTAGCTCTTGCAGGTAAGGGTGTGTTGTGTGGAGTTTCATAAGCAGGCCATCCAGGAGTCCTGAGCATACTTGAATTTGTTTGGTACCACCTGTGGTTTAGCAGCTTCCATCAGGGTCAAGCGCTTCCTGTTCCCTTCCAACAACCACCCCTCATAACGTTAACACTGTTCCAGCATTATTGGCAGGGCTGTGCTCAGAAAATCCACATAATTCATGGGCGTCCACACGTGCTTCTGGAATCCATGTAAAAACTTGTTCCACAGATAGATTTACTCCTCAGTAACCGACACAGCATGCGAAGCCTGAGGAGCTGTAATGTTTATGAATGTACTGTCACTCTCACTCTTACATAACCTGAAATTGGCGTTGATCGTTGTTTTAATCCCTTTACCTCTCCCATTTGCAAGCTGTGCTGCATCATTCTTTGCTTAACCAAATTTAATATTTACATATTCCTTGGTGAAATCGAATAAGCATGCAGGAATAAAGTGATGTTTTAGGGTCACTTCTGGTTTTGGCGCCATGCGTGAATGTGTGATTGCGCATCAAACGGACACCGTGTATCAGTCGTTGCCTGTACACAAGTATTTATCGTGGAAGATCAGCTGTTTCCCTTGCATTGATTGTGATTGGGGTTTTTTTTTGGGGGGGGGTATTCAACATTGCATCAAACAATTGTCCCATGCTTTCTAATGCATTTTCATCTCCCTTGCCTTATCTAAAAACCTCCAATGTTGACGGGAAGCGAGTTCAACTTTAATTTTGCAGCCTGAATTTGCCAGCCTGAAATCTGGAAGTGCCCAGTGATCCCCAAGCTTCCATTCCACCCCTCCAGTTTGTGCAGTGGTTAAGAGTGGTAGTCTTGTAATCTGGGGAACCGGGTTCGCTTCCCCGCTCCTCCACATGCAGCTGCTGGGTGACCTTGGGCTAGTCACACTTCTTTGAAGTCTCTCAGCCCCACTCACCTCACAGAGTGTTTGTTGTGGGGGAAGAAGGGAAAGGAGAATGTTAGCTGCTCTGAGACTCCTTCGGGTAGTGATAAAGCAGGATATCAAATCCAAACTCTTCTTCTTTTCCCCCTACTGTGCATGAAGATCCCACTAAATCAAAATGAAGGTGAGCATCAGAAGTGCTTACTGAATTTCTGTCCATATTCTAGTCCAGGCATAGGCAAACTTGGCCCTCCAGATGTTTTGGGACTACAACTCCCATCATCCCTAGCTAACAGGACCAGTGGTCGGGGATGATGGGAGTTGTAGTCCCAAAACATCTGGAGGGCCGAGTTTACCTATGCCTGTTCTAGTAGTTCATTCCTTTTTTAATTAAGTTTTGCTCTTTGACTTTAAAAAGCAGAACAACATGCTTTTAACAAAACATTTAATGTCACTGACATAGCTTTAGGGTGTGACAACAAAAGGCACTGCCTTGCTCAAGGAATCCATAGGTTGTGTTGGTGCAATTGTTTGATACCTGTTTCTGTCTCCTGGACATGAGTAATTGGTGTTCTTCAGCATCCATCTGATACTACAGTATGAAGAGCGAAAACACTTTCACTGTAGGATATACCACTGTCTCCCACCTGCCAATTTGTGCAGCCCTAAAAGAAAAAAGAAATTACATCCTGAGCATGATGATTACTTTCTTTGCACTACAATTTTCCAGAAGAACACTTTTACACTGTAAACACCAAGAATATTTTCCAGACCTTGAAGAGCAGAAAAGCTTGCGTTGTCTTGTAGAATGGAATATTTACCTTCTCAAAATGTCTGCTGTTCTTTCTGTGTGAGTTTAATTATGGGAGATTGGCAGTGAAAGCTTTTTTAAAAAAACAACCCTAATTTAAATGGCTTAATGATCCTTCAGTAGAAAGTAGAGATACTTGAAGGCAAGTCTGTCTGGCACATATGAAGTTTTCAGTCTCTTTCTCTTACTGCAAAGTAAGGTGGGGTAAGCACATGCACCCCCCTCCCCACTTTCCCTCTAGTCATACAATCATATTATTGTAGAGTTGGAAAGGACCCTGAGGGTCATCTAGTCCAACCCCCTGCAATGCTGGAATCTTTTCTGCAATGTGGGCCTCAAACCCATGACCTTCAGATGAAGAGTCTCATGCTCTGCCAGCTGAGCCAGTCACTTAATTGGGAACTGGGAAGAAATTGCCCATGTCATCCGGATTGGTCAAGGATGCACATGTTTTGTTCTGTTTCCTGGGGTAATACCTATGAGTTTATGCAGTCCACAACTGTCACAACTTGAGCAGGTAGTATTCTATGGGGCCTATTCACTTCCAAACCCTATTCAGGGTATTTGTTTTTAAAGCACCAACCGGTTTGGGATCTAAATCTCTGAAGGAATGCCTGTATCAGCGTGCCCATTCCTTATGACTGGGCTGGGGAAATCTTTGGCTTTCCAGATGATGCTGGACTACAACTCTCATCATCCCTAACCATTGGCCATGCTGGCTGGGGTTGATGGGAATTCATCCAGAGGGCCAAAGATTCCCCAGCGCTGCCTTAAGATATTCAGAAGGGGCATCGTCTCCATTTCGGGATACCATTTTGTTATTAGCTGCCTCTATTTTGTTCTGAGGGACACGGGTGGCACTGTGGGTTAAACCACTTTGCCTAGGACTTGCCGATCAGAAGGTCGGCGGTTCGAATCCCCACGACAGGGTGAGCTCCCATTGTTCGGTCCCTGCTCCTGCCAACCTAGCAGTTCGAAAGCGCATCAAAAGTGAAAGTAGATAAATAGGTACCGCTCTGGTGGGAAGGTAAACGGCGTTTCCGTGCGCTGCTCTGTTCCACCAGAAGCGGCTTAGTCATGCTGGCCACATGACCCGGAAGCTGTACGCCGGCTCCCTCGGCCAATAAAGCGAGATGAGCGCCGCAACCCCAGAGTCGGCCACGACTGGACCTAATGGTCAGGGGTCCCTTTACCTTTATTTTGTTCTGATTTAGCATTTGTCTATATTATGCATTGTACCCTGCCCTGGTATCTACATAGATTAAATGAAATTTATAAATATACTTCACAGAGAAGGTGAAGGCACATTTTCAGTGATAAGAGACAGAGAAGTTGTATGAGGACTAACAGGCATGAGCAAGTGCTGGAAAATGGGTACCATGTTTGTTCTTCAACTAAGAATTCACCTCACGGAGTTACAATTTTCAGAGTTCCCTGGGTGTCATGAACTGTCAGGACGACAGGTAGGAAGAAGAGGGGCCCCTGTCCCCATGAACACGGTGGGCTCTGCGGTGTAGGGAGTAGCAGGAGGGGCGCACTAGAAGGCTGAGGCAGGCAAAGGCCCACAGCCCAGCTCCCTAGCTGGCCAGCTGGGGCTTGCTAGCTCTGGGAGAAGGTGTGTGATTCCTCAGCTGGAGTAGACTTGGAACAGGTGAGAGTCACATGCCTCATCAAGCCCAGATGCTGCAATCAGCATGCAAACTACAAAAGGGAAGCAGAGCTGAATTGCTGTGTCTGCTCAACTGCCCATGTTGACGGACCTTGGCTTGGGTGCTCCTGGACCTCTGCAGGAGTTTGCTTTGGGTTTGACACTGGACAGTATCCTGGCAGCTGGACGACAGACTTGGCCTACATGGATTGACCCTGGACTGTGTTTCCTGACCTTTGGACCTTGGACTTTGCTTGTGTAGATTGACTCCTGGTTTTTAAACTTGCCACCAGGTAGGCCAGGGGTTTGGGGCACTGGGAGAGTGACTGACTATTAAACTACTCTGAGAGTTGTAGCTCTGTCAGTCTCTGAAACTCACTTGGCACCCTTAACCTAGATTTTCCAGGATTCTTGGAGGGAAGCCATGACTATTAAAGTGGCTTAAATATATATATTGGGTGTGATATGAATAATCCATAAGTATCAATGCCTTTTCAGTCTATTGGGCATAGATAACAGTATAAGGAATTGGACACCACATTTTTGGCATATCCCTTTTTTCCATGGAAGATAATTCAAGGTTACTACTGTTTTTATAATCCAGGTGTCTGCATCTGGAAAATGTGCTTATTGCAATCATTTTAAGTCAGTGCCTGCTGTTGCTTTTAGATGTACTTGATCTATTGGAATAGGGAAGGTAAGCAATAAGGTTTTGTCTTTCTGGGACAGACTCATCCCCAGGGACTCTGGGCTGCTTTGCACATTAATCTCCATGCTGGGAGAGGTTACTTCTATGTTGGGAAGAAAATGTTATTTCTGTGCTAGGGGAAGCAAGTTTTTTATGTGTTTGTATTCTCTTGGGTGTGGTTGTTGTTGACCCATTAAAGGACCACCTTGGTGGTGGCTCTCTTTTGTGGTGTGCCCTTCCTGGTGACTTGCATTTGTCTCCCTCATTAATGTTACGGAGGAATTTAAAACATCGCCGTTTAAATAGGCATTTGATGGCTGGAAGATACTCTTCTCAGCAATCTTGAAACTGCTACCTTTGAGAGTATGCAGTTGTTTAGACCAGTGGTTCCCAAACTTCTTTGTGCCACTGTCAAACGTTAACAATTAATTGCACATTTATTCAAAATCCAATTAAAACTATTTGGTTTATTTAATTCAACAAAACTGATGTCATTTATACCTCCACCGCCCCCGATAATCCCACAACCTCTCTTTGGGAACCACTGTTTCAGACACATTAGATATTATAAATATGCTTTATCTTATTTTATTTTTAATTGCATTGTTGTATCACTTATGTGTTTGCTGCCCTGGGCTACTTAGGGAGGAAGAGCAAGGCATAAATTTCATTAATTTATTCCACATTCTCCCATCTCTCCTGCTGAGTTTGCTAGCAGAAGCGGCAAGGTCTTGCAAAGTCTGCAATGTTTTTCCTATCCAGTAGCTTAACAATCATTATTGCAGGGGGAGCTGAGCTCTTGCAAGGCGCCAGACTTGGTCTGACATTTCAGGTTTTACAGTGCTGTTGTTGTTGTTTAGTCGTTTAGTCGTGTCCGACTCTTCGTGACCCCATGGACCAGAGCACGCCAGGCACTTCTGTCCTCCACTGCCTCCCGCAGTTTGATCAAACTCATGCTGGTAGCTTCAAGAACACCATCCAACCATCTCATCCTCTGTCGTCCCCTTGTGCCCTCCATCTTTCCCAGCATCAGGGTCTTTTCCAGTGCTATTAATTTGCAAATATTATGTCAGCAGCTAAAGGAATTCTCTGAATCGCAGAGCTTAGATTCATGTATCCGTAGAAGGTGTCAATTTAAATTCCTAACCTTTTCAAACTTAAATTAAACTTTATTTCTTCATCAATGTGAGTGCATTTTTGCCTAATATCTGCATTTTTGTATGCACTTTTTGGATCAAAGAACTGCATGGCAGCATTTGAAGGAGCGTGCATTTTGATAACTGTGTTTTAAGTTTATGTATTTGTTTGGGAAACGGGAATGTCTTGCCCATTCCTTTCTTCCAGGGGTGCCAACCTGAATAAAATATGAGGGGCTAGGTAAGCCCTGCCCCACATAATCGATCACAAGATGGGGTGCGTGTACAATGCCCATCAACTTCAGTGGGGTCCAGACCCCTCAAATATTTTATTGGGGGGGCAAAGAAACCTCAGCCCCTAGGAGTTGGCTCCTATGCTTTCTTCATCACCACTGAAGAAAACTCAGTAAAGTAATAATAATTTTATTAACTATTTTTGTGAACCTGGTCAGAACTTAGATCTGGTTCCCACTTCCAGAATGGATCGGCTTTAAATCAGCTGTAAAAGCTGTCATTGTGGTGATGGGCAGCAGGAATGCCAACTTGGCCCTGCGATTGCAGGTACCATGCAGCGTGCATGGCCCTGGTGCCAAAATTTGTGGGTGCCCAGCCCCTTCATGGGGAATTTTATGGGTGCTTGGGCACCCAGGGCCCCAGGGAATTGGCACCTAGGATGGACAGGCTGAGGAAAACTTATTTGAAAAGCATGTGGAGTTTAGTATCCTGACATGACCCCAAATCCCAAATCTTGCGAAGCATAAACTAAAAAAAAAAGGGGGGTCAGAAGAGTTATTCTCATGAATGGTAACATCGTGCCATGTTCTGAGGACAGATGGTTACAATGGTAACGAGATTAGCTGCTTACTCAGCATCTGCTAAAATAAGTATTTAACACACACATCTGCCACCCGACAATTCAGCCTAAATTCCAAGCCAGCTGAAAAAGGTCGGGCACACAAGTAATCACAAGAATTTTTATTTAAGCAACTGTTAGTTTGTTTTTAAAGAAAATCCTTCTGTTTGTTTACTTAAAGTATGAAGGTTAGTGGGTGAACCTGAGCCACTCTCTAGGCCTAACCTACCTCACAAGGTTGTTAGAGGATAAGATGAGGAGGTGGGGAACCATGCATGCCATGTTGAGATTTTTAGGGGGAAAGGGGGTGTAAATACAATGAATGAATACAACATATTATGTTGTTATGGAGGGACGCGGGTGGCACTGTGGGTTAAACCACAGAGCCTAGGACTTGCCGATCAGAAGGTCGGCGGTTCGAATCCCCACGACTGGGTGAGCTCCCGTTGCTCTGTCCCAGCTCTTGCCAACATAGCAGTTAAATACTCCACCACTGGCACACTGCAATGTGCTGGTATCCTCTTTCAGAGTGGGAAGGTACTGTTAGCTGGATCAATGTGGCAGCATCTGGCCTCATCACCACTATGCTAAGGCCCCTCCAATGATGGAGGCCAGAAGCTACCAAGCAGCTATCAGGTGACTCAGGGGGCAGTAACATCCCACTTAATCCTGTAAATCCTCAGATTTGTGCCTGGCTCATTCTGAATATCTTGGTGCTAGAGAAAGGATCTGACTGTTCTCCGGCTGGGCCCACTCACTCGTCTGTTTATCTATGGACTTGCCCAGTGGTGGAAGGAGTCTCTCTTGGCACCTGGGGTGGTGCAAACCGCCGATAGGGGCAGGGCGAACCGTCCATAGGGAGGGCCATTTCCGCCCCCTCTGTTTTTGCTCGTCTGCCTTTCCCACCCTCTCCCCTGCCTGCCTGCCTCCTCCATGTGGGAGCGTGGGGTAATGGCGCCCCCCGTGACTCCTGACCCAGGGGGTGGGGCAACCATGCCCAGGGGGCACAATCTGGCCCGGCAACCAGGCCAGGGGGCGCTCCACCAAGGCAGCCAGGCCAGGGGA